TCTGGTCCAAAATTACTCTCCTAGACTACTGGAATAGTCCCCTGCATCCTCTCTAATTCTGATCACACATACATAACTACCAGGTTCATCTTCCTAAAACGCAAGGTTCTGATCTTGTCATACCCTACAGTGCACAGCACAGCCTCCACACCAAAGAACCGTCATCTGACCAAAATGTCAGTAGTGCTGAGTTGACAAACCTTGTCCTGTACTCTCTTACCCTGGGATATAGGAGTCACTCCTCTACTCTATAATACACTCACTCTATTCTATAAAAATTCCACTGTAACTAGATGTATTTGACTTGCCGTCTTCACAGCTATATTATGTACATCTTATCCTCTACCTGCTGTACTCATAATGCTTTTATTCAAAGATTATTTACTGAGAATCTACATCTATCAGGTTGCAAGCCCAGATAGTAAGCAAAGAAGGCAGGCACCACATCTCAATTATTTCGACACCCCATGTATACAATAAGGATTTGGTGAGAATAAAGACAGTTCTCTCTGCACTTCATTTTCCACCTAAAAACAAAGATTCTGATACAGATTTGCAAAAAGAAAGCGGTACATACTTCTGTTGACATCTAGTAAAATTCAGAAAGGCCCTGCCTAAATTTCCCACTAAGAATGAAACTAATAGATGCTCATGAACCTATTGAAAGTTAATTGTCAGTTAAGAATAATATTTCACCAAAACTGAAAAAGACATATGTACCCCAATGGCTCCCTTGGTGGCTTAGATGGTAAAGAATCTGCCTTCAATGCAGGAGACCTGGGTTCAATCCCTGGGCTGGGAAGGTCCCCTGGAGAAGGGAATGGCACCCCACTCCAGTATTTCTGACTGGAGAACTTTCATGGACAGAGGAGGCTGGCAGGCTATAGTCCATAGGGTTGCAAAGAGTCAGACACAACTGAGCAACTAACACTTTCACGTTTTCACTCTTCACACCAACGTTCATTGCAGCACTATTTACAATAGCTAGGACATGGAAACAACCTGGATGTCCATCAACAGATGAACGGTTATAAAGAAGCTATGGTACATATACACAATGGAATGCTGCTGCTGCTGCGTCACTTCAGTCGTGTCCGACTCCATGTGATCCCATAGACGGCAGCCCACTGGGCTCCCCCATGCCTGGGATTCTCCAGGCAAGAACACTGGAGTGGGTTGCCATTTCCTTCTCCAATGTGTGAAAGTGAAAGTGAAGTTGCTCAGTCGTGTCCGACTCTTAGCAACCCCAAGGACCGCAGCCTACCAGGCTCCTCCATCCATGGGATTTTCCAGGCAAGAGTACTGGAGTGGGGTGCCATTGCCTTCTCCCAATGGAATGCTACTCAACCATAAAAAGGAACACATTTGAGTCAGTTCTAATGTGAGGCAAATCAACCTAGAGCCTATTATACAGAGTAAAGTAAGTCAGAAAGAGAAAAAAAAATATTGTATATTAACATATATATACGGGATCTAGAAAGATGGTACTGATGAACCTATTCGCAAGGCAGCATTAGAGATGCAGACAAGAGAACAGATTTATTGACAAGGGCTGGGGAGAGGAAGGAGAGTGAGATGAATGGAGACAGTAGCATGGAAGCATATACACTACCACATATAAAACAGATAGCTTATGGAAATACACTGTAGGACTCAGAGGGCTCTGTAATAACCTAGAGGGGTGGGAAAGGGTGGGCGGGGAAGGGAAGCCAAGAGGGAAGGGACATATGTACACCTATGACTAATTCATGCTGCTGTATGGCAAAAGTCAAATTTTGTAAAGCAATCATCAATCAAAAATAAACATTAAAAAATAGCATTTCAATATAAAGCTCTAATAGTTAAAATAATAAAATCAATATTAACTTAACAAACCTAGAGAAAAAGACTATACCAGCAGGCGATAAAACACACTTCAATCTTTATCTTACCTTATATTACAATAGTAATTTTAATTTTCCCATTATCTTAGTCTTTTTCTGAAAATAAATTTTAAAAATAACTGGAGAACCCCCTCCCCTCAAATTTCATATATATGTCTTCATCTAAAAAGAAAGGAGGTGAATAAAGATCTCTAAGGTCAAGTGGGAAGTGAAACCGGGGTGTTTCGGGGGCTCTGAAGAGCTTCGGTACCATAGACCTTTATGTCTCAGTGCAGAAAGAATACAGCAAGAGGCAAAAGTGATACATAATAAGTGACTTACTAGAATCACCTGGGCTTTCCCGGTTATTGAGATGGTAGTGTGGCAGTTCTGGGTTCAATCCCTGGGTGGAGAAGATCCCCTGCAGAAGGAAATGGCAGCCCACTCCAGTATTCTTGCCTGGAGAATTCCATGGACAAAGTAGCCTGGTGGGCTAGACTATAGGGTTGAAAAGAATCGGACACAACTAAGTGACTAACACACACACTAGAACAGGATGCTTGTGAGGTTAACAAGTGGGTGGGAAACGGGGTGTCACACCATGAACTTACTAGGCAACAGTTTCATAATCAAAGGAAAAGTGGGGAGAAGCGTTTCTGCAACTTTCTTGAGTAGATTTCATGCTTCCATCATTAGTTCCTCCTCCAGGTTAACCAGGGGAGTTTTCTTGTCCTTACATGGTCATGCGAGGTCCACAAATTATTGTTTTTATGTTTTATGTTTTTAAGCAGAAAGCATGTCATAGGGATCATTAAGTTACTGAGCTCACTGGGGTCTCAGGAGGATGGGGGTCTCAGAATGGGGGTCCTACCAGTGTTTTATTGTCCTGAGGCATGTCACGATCTTCTGTTACATGGTTTTGCTGCAACGCAAAGCTGCTTTTACTTAAATCCCCTAGTGGGATTAACTATCATCACCTATTTTGTCCCTTCATTCTGCCCCTGTCAAAAGTAATATGAAAATGTACATATAAACAATCAAGTCTCCCACAAATATCATGCCCCAGTGTAACATAGAGGAAAGTACATGCTCTATTCCCCAAGACTCAGGCTGGAATTTTTGCTTACTAGCTGTATCATTCTATGAGAATGAACTTACACTTTGAAGCACAATCAAAAAATGAAAATGCTAAGGTTATTGTGAGAATTAAAGACTAACATTTACAAAGTGCCTATCAGATCAAAAAGCTACCATAGTTTTAATATTCATTTAACAAATCACTCCCTTGCAAACATCCCTCAAACAGTTAACCACGACCTATAGGATCTGGCTTCTACCTGACCTCCACTCCTACAGTCTTTTGATCTGTTGGCTCTAGAATTCCACCAAGTCCTGGAATAAGCCATGCACCTTTGGCCTCCTTCCTCTGCTTATTAAGCAGATCTTTGCATTGCCACCTCAACATTCCAAACTTTGTCCAAAACCTCAAAAACCTTCCTGAGCACCCAAAGTCCTTAGCCATGCCCTTCCAGTCAGCCCATTCTCTACCCTCTTATGTTGTTTTATAGGGCTTCTCAAGTGGGCTAGTGCTACAGAATCTGCCTGCCAATGCAGATGTAAAAGACTCTGGTTGATACCTGGGTTGGGAAGATGTTTTATGTTCTTATGTTGTTTTATATTCCTCTTTGATTCCGTGAAACTGTCAACTGCCAAATTCTTTCCCATCAGAATGTAAACTCCCTGAAGGACAGGACTTCTGTCTTTTCAACCATGTGTCTTCAGAACTTAGCGCCAGAGCCAGGGTGGGGTGAGAGACAGGACTCAGGTGCAAAATTTAAGAGGATGCCAAAAATTTCAGCAACCAAGAAAAATACTAACATGATGCAACATTCTAAAAAATAAAAATGAACGCAGAAAACCATGATGAACTATCAAAAATGTCACATAAAGAGAGGATCAACTCAGCATTTGCAGGATTCACTTGATCCCCGCGTTGCTTCACAAAGGACTTGATAGAAATTTAACTGAGCACTTGAGTGTTGCATGCTAAGTCTGACTGCGACACCATGGACCCTAGGCCACCAGGAGTGGGTTGCCATTTCCTCTTGGGGGCGGGGGGGCGTAAATCTTCCCGATCCAGGGATCGAACCTCTTGTCTTCTGCATTTGCTTACCACACGGCCAACTATCAACTGGAGGCTGCAGAAAAGGTAAAAGAGAGAAAACTGCAAAAGACAGGAATTCGGACACTTGGGAGCTTACATCCTTTGGCTTCACTGTGTTCTGACCAAAAGTGAAACTGGGGAATGCAATGTCACCACTTAAACGCACAGAGAATGAAAACTTCAGCATGACACGTGCGGTACAACTTGCTATAGAAGACTTAGCAATGAATACTTCCACCCTTTCTTCCATCACTGGAAAATTATGGCCAAGGGCCTTCAGACTCAGGGAGTCAGGTTTGGAACTCCCAGGACAGGATGACTGATTCATTTATTCACTGATTCTGGAATAGGATTAGAGTGTGTGTTTGGCACTTGAAAAGAAACGAAACCCGGGAGAGTACAGTAGATATATATTTAATAAGCTTAAACGTCCGGGATTAAAGCAAGGTGGCTGAGGAACAGTGGTCGAAAATTTAAAAAAAAAAAAAAACACGCTTACAAAAAAGAAGCGACGGTCCCAGTCTCATCTCCTCAGCAAGGGCCCAAGGAGATTCAAGTCAGTCGGGGTCTCCCGCCACAGAGGAGGTAGGACCAGCTCCTAGCGCCGGAGGGACGCGGCCCCACCCACGCGGCCCAGGGCTCTCCGCCTCCCTCGCCCCCAGAGAGAAACGCGGGGGTCCCCAGCGCGCAAGCGCCAACCCGCCAACTCCAAGACGGCCGCCCGCCACCAGCGCTTGCGCGAAAGCGCTGAGCAGGGGGAGGGGCGAAACTAGGAGGCGAGAGGAGCGCGCCTAAATCCTAGAGAGGCGGGCTAAGCCGAGCTGGGGGGAGGGTTCGTCTTCCGGAAAGTCTGCATTCTCGGACAGTCAGGAGTCGCCGCTCACCAAACTCCCGCTTGAGAAATGACCGGAGGAAGTCGGCCGCGCTCTGCACCCATCGGAGTTCCTCAGACACAAGCCGGAGCCGCCTTCAGGATGAAATTAGGACCCGCCGGAGGCCGGTTCCTCAGGAGGAGGAGAGCGTGGCGGGAACGCGCATGCGTGGTAGGAGCCCTCCACGTGCTGCCGAGCCGAGGCCTCCCCGCGCTCCGAGGCCCCGCCCCCGGCCTCCGCGTCTTTCCGGACGAGCGGAGCTGGCGAGGGAGGAAGGAGGCTGGGCCTGGAGGCTCGGCCCCACCTCGGCAGCCTCCCATTGGGCGCGAGTGAGGGGACGCCCTCCCGCCGCCCTCCCATTGGATCGCGCGTGCGAGCGGCGCGCCCCATTGGGCCGTGCGGATTTGGGCACCAAATTCAAAGATTTTAAAAGTACCAGCTGGCGCCTTTTGGAAGATAAGAGCTTTGAGAAGCTGGCCGCCCGCTCTCCTCCTGTGGTCGCAGTTCCCTCACCTGAGGCCGACCCCTCTCTTGCCCCTGGCATGAGCCGGCGGCCCTGCAGCTGCTCCCTACGGCCGCTCTCCGGTTCCTGCCGCTGCAGCTACGGCGCCCCGACAGCCGCCGGGCGCCCTTGCCCCTCGGACGGTGGGTGAGAGGAGAGGGTGCGAGCGGGGCGCGCCTTCCAGAAGGGGTGCCCGGCGGAGGAATGACGGTGGCGGGGTAGGAGGAGTTGGTGGGCAACGACCTGGACCCGACACCCTCCCGAGTCTGGCCGTGAGGCCCCTCGCTGGGACGCGGGCGGGCGGGCGTCGGTTCTCCCGGGACCCAGAGGAAGAAGGCAGGGGGGTGTCCGGAGAAGGGAAGCAGAGGTCCCGGGACAGGATGGCCGGCGCACCTGGGTCCCGCCGTGCCCGCGAACCGGGGCGCCAGGCCCCCCAGGGAGGTGCGGGTCGGGGGCTGGGCAGGGCTGCCTACCTCCACCCCGCGGGCCCGGGCGCCAAATGCCCCCTGCCGCCCCTCCCCCACCCCGGAGCCGCCGCGCTGACAGGGCCCGCGAGCCAGCGGCCCTCGGGGTCCAGCCGGGTGCCCGACCCCTCACTTCAGCGCCCCTTCTCCACGCCTGCCCCGCGCTCTCAGGTCGGAAGTCAGTCCTCGCAGGTTTTCGCCACCTCAGTCTTCCTGGCGGGCGCGGGAGATCGTGCTCGCTGTTATCTCCCGCCTCCTCCGCCGGTCCGCGCCCTGAGGGCCACCCCTCCGACCCCTCGGGATTTCCAGGGTCTCCCCTTCCCCAATCCCCGCCAAATGGAGGGACCCCTCTCATCGGGTCAAGGCTCTGTTGGGGATGTCCGAACAAAAACGTTGAATTTCTTCTTTTTCCCCCCTTGAACCCAGTGAGTGACTCAGTCTCAAGGCCTGGACTGAAATGGAAGGAGGGAAAAGGACATTTTTAATGCAGAAACCCCGAATTTGTCCAAATGTAGCTGATTTTGAAGAATTTGGGAAGATCTGAGAAGTGAAGGATTCGTTTGGTTTTCCCCTATGCTTCTGGAGACGCAATCTTTTATTCCAGCTCTTGGGTGGAATTGAAGGCACCCAAATGAACACTTACTTTTATCCTCTTTGTTGCTGTCTCTTAAAGAGACCCAGCTGCATTCATTTTATTTTAGAAATTGTGAAAAATTTTAGAAGTTAACAGCTTGATGGTGTATATTTAGTAATTACTGAAAGACGCTCCTTTCTTTAGAAAAGGAATCTAGAAGACTCAAAAAATATTTTAACAGGTTAAGTCTGAGTCTAGAAATCCCTGACTCATAAAACTCTCTGCAATTCTGGAGATTGGTGGCTTTAAGAAGGATTTTTTTAGTTGCTTAATTCCAGTTGTCTTTACTACCTTGTCCCTCAGGAGAGTATTTGCTGTCCCCTAGATTTTTTTCTATATTTGAAAATTTGAGAAAAGGAAATTTAAAAATCTGTTGCATTCAAATATTTCTGAAATAGGCTTTCTAAAATATTCTCTTGGGGATTATGACTAATTTTTGCAGTTTACGGCAACAGGTCTTGAGGCTCTTTTAAAGGAATAGCCATGCCTCATTGATATTGGGCACATGCTGTTTATCTTGTAGGTACTGGAGGTTGTAGTACTTAACATTTAACATTGGGATAGCTGTAAAGATTTTTTAACTTTAAGCACTATAGTCTTTTTAACTATTACAGTTTACTATGAAATGTTAAATCTACATTGGGAAGTTAAATAGAAGTTAACTTTGTACAGTTAACTACCTAATACCACTTTTTCATGATTGGACTATTGAGTTGGTAAATAAGAGGTCTTAAAATTGCAGTGGTGAATCTTTACCAACTCCATGAGGTAGATATTATGGATATAGTATCTCCATTTTAAAGAAATTGAAAGACTGATTCAATGTTCTAGGTCACTAAATGGCAAAAGGCTGAGCAAGGACTTTCATTTGAAGTTGGATTTGATTCCTAGGGAAAACATAATCTGAGATGCATAAGTCTGTGTAGAATGTATTTTGCCCCTTTGAACTTGTTTGTGATTTAAATATAAAGAATATGAAGGGTTTGGTTTACAAAAATAACAGGGAAAATAGATTCTGTTTATTAAACTATATGTGATGGAAACTCTGCCATGCATTTAGTCCAGTTTGGTTTTCTTTCCTGCATTTTATACATTAGGAAACAAGCTTTAAGAGTTAACTTGCTCAGTTTTTTGTTTTTCACCTGAAATGCTCATGATTTAAACCCAGGGTATTCACAGCTAATATAGTATATCACCAACCTCTGTTGACTTTACCCTTCTGAAAAGATCTCAGATCTATTCAGTTATCTTTATTTGCCCTGCGGTCATCCTAGTCTTGGGTACCCAACTGTGGACTCCTGTGATAAGCGTTTCCAGCTAGCCTCCCTGCTTTCACTTGCGTTGGATTAGCCAAGAAGTTTGTTTAAATTTTTTCACAGCAGAAGTTTTCAAGTTTTTCCAGTGTTTTTGAAAAATCCCAACGAACTTCTTGGCCAACCCTATACCTTCCTATTAATATAATCCAATATTTTCCACAACTGGCAATCATTTGTTTGTGTGTCTGTGTGTTAGTTGCACAGCCGTGTTTGACTCTTTGCGATCCTGCCAGGCTTCTTGTCCATGGGACCATGGGATTCTCCAGGCAAGAGTACTGGAGTGAATTGCCATTTCCTTCTCCAGAGGATCTTCTCAACCCAGGAATCAAACCCTGGTCTCCTGCATTGCAGGCAAATTCTTTACTGTTTGAGCTATAGGGAAGTCCTAGTGTGAACCAGATGTCTCACTTAGAACCCCTCAGAGGCTCTTTATTACACGAAGAATAAAAGCCAGTCTATCCTAAAAATCCTGTAGCATTCTATACCTCTTCAGCATTAATTTTCAATCCTTATCCCCCTGTTGTTTACTGAGTCCCAGTCCTGCAGGCCTTCCTCTTCCTTGAAAGTTCAACACTTTTCCTTCCAGGGTCCACCTTTGTCTGGGTTTTCACAAGGCTTTCAAGATACCAGGATTTCACCTTCAAAAGACCTTCTGTGGCTAGTTTCTTTCCTTCTCAAGACTCTGTCTCTAAGTAGGCATCGGGTAAATGAAGTGGCAGAGCTAGATTCTGTTGTTCATTCGCTCACTTGTGTCCAGCTCTTTGCAGCCCCATGCACTGCAGCACACCAGGCTTCCCTGTCCTTCACTATCTCCTTGAGTTTGCTCAGATTCATGTCCACTGAATCAGTGATGCCATCTAACCATCTCATCCTCTGTCGTCCCCTTCTTTTGCCTTCAATCTTTCACAGCATTGGGGTCTTTTGAGTCAGCTGTATGCATCAGGTGGCCAAAGTATTGGAGCTTCAGTTTCAGTCTTTGTAATGAATATTCAGGATTGATTTCCTTTAGGATTGACTCTTAACCCTCATCTTTCTGATTTAAGAGGCTCTGAACTGTGAGATATATATATATATATATATATACACACTTTTTTAATGATCCTTGTGACTCAGTTGGTAAAGAATCCACCTGCAATGCAGGAGACCTGTGTTCAATTCCTGGTTTGGGAAGATCCCCTGGAGAAGGGAAAGGCTACCATTCCAGCATTCTAGCCTGGAGAAGTCCATGGGTCGCAAAGAGTCAGACATGACTGAGCATCGGCTGAGCATCTTTCACTTCACATTCTACCTCAGTTTTGAGCACGTGTTTGGAAATGTTGGAAATTGTTGACTTCTAAACAGTTATAAAGTAGCTGAATCATTATTAACTCTGAAATTAAGGAACTGTCCATATTCCGAGAACAGTGGTGAATGAAAGGGGTTCTGTAGGATAGTCTTCCAGTAACTGAGTTGTAAAGGCAGCAGAGGAAGAATGCCTTTGAAAAGAATTAAGTTTCTGAAATATAGTTTCAGGCCTCTTCCCTTTATGATTTCCCAAGTGGTGCTAGTGGTAAAGAGCCTGCCTGCCATTGCAGGAGAGACAAAAGATGGGGGTTCTATCCCTGGGTCAGAGAAGATCCCCAGGGGACGGGCATGGCAACCCACTCCAGTATTCTTGCCTGGAGATTTCCATGGACCGAGGAGTCTGGTGAGCCCTATAGTCCATAGTGCCACAAAGTGTTGGACACGACTGAACATGCCCATCCCCTTTAGGGAATTAAACAAAAGAAAGCATGTGTCTTGTTGGTGGCTTCTTTATCTTCAGATAACATGTGTGGTCTTAGCTAAATCATACTGAATTCCTTACTTGATGCAAAAATAAGAATCTCTTAGAATTTTTTACCTTTTTCTGAGTACAAGGGAACAGCTCGGAATAATTTGCTCTAGAGTTAGGGTTAATTGGGGTAATATTTATGTCCCTAAACTTTTAAACCTAATTAGAAGAAAGTTTTTATCTATAAGGTGTCCTTTAGTGCTTAGAAGTTCTGTTCTAAGTAAAAACAGTAAATTCCGAATGAACAGATTACCAATGTTTAGTACAGACTAAACATAACTGACTATACTTACTTATAGGGTAATTGTTATCTACCTGTGATTGGTTTGCAGGAGGTATAGTATAGTAGATGGGGGAGTACATTGGAAGCACATAGATCCATATACTCTGCCTTCAAAAATGCTAAGCAGTTTTCTTAAACCCATCTACTATATTCCGTCCCAGCCACTACTGCCTGCCAGAAATCCTAATCCTTTAAAGCAGCAGTTAACTGAGAATGGGGGAGATTTTGCCCCTGCTAACTTCCCCCACTCCAGTATTCTTGCCTGGAGAATCCCATGGACAAAGGAGCCTGGTGGGCTACAGTCCATGGGGTCGCAGAGTCGGACACGACTGAGCAGCTAACACACACACACAGCTTCCCCCTACTCCCAACATTTGACAATAAATGGTTGCTGAAGACATTTCTTATTGTCCTGCTGGAGGAATAGCAGCTGCTAATGGCATCAGATAGCCACAAGTTGCTAAACATCCTGCAACAGACAGGACAACCCCCAGCAAAATTATCCTGCCCCAGAAATCACTAGTGTGGTTAGTTTGTGCATGTGTGCTTAGGCAGATTCTAAACCCCTAGTGGTTAACTTACAAATGATTAAATTTATTGGCTTTTTAATCCTTTCTCTAAACTTCTATAGATTTTGTGATTAATTATTGTAAGACTTAATAATTGTTTAGTCGCTAAGTCACATCCCACTCATCCAGCTGTTTGCGACACCCCTGTTCTTAGCTATTCCCAGAGTTTGCTCAAGTTCCTATCCATTGAGTTGGTGATGCTATGTGGCCATCTCATCCTCTGCTGCCCCCTTCTCCTTTTGCTTTCAATCTTTGCCAGCATCAGGGTCTTTCCCAATGAGTCAGTTATAATAGTTACTAACATTTAAATATATAAGTTTTTTGGAACTTTTATCAAAACTGTTTGACCCTTATACATCCCGTCTTCCATTATCTTAACCATATTTCTAGAAGTATTTGATTTCTGTAGGGATGTCTCTTACCTCAGGCCCCACTCTTGATGCATCATATTTCCTTATTCTATAAGCACAGACTATTTGTTAAATAGTCCCTTTTGTCACTATTTTCTACTCAGATATGACTCTAAAAGTCAGATGGTATAGTTACACCAGATTTAAAAGCAGACTGTACTGAAGTACTCCCTCGAGAATAAGATGTATATACTTATTAGGTTTTAGTAATATTTTCTTACATTATACTTTGATAATTTCATAGCTTATTTCATGGGAAGTTCACAGTGCTGAAAGAATGCAAAGTGATTAAATCTGTATCCCAAATTTAAAGAAGTAGTGATATGTGGAAATTTTTGCCATCAGGCATAATGTTATGTTCTTTTTGTAGGTTGTAAAGAAGAAAGTTCCACTCTCTCTGTCAAAATGAAGTGTGATTTTAACTGTAACCATGTTCATTCTGGAATTAAACCAGTGAAGCCTGATGACAGTAGAAGACAAGGTTCCTACACTACTGCATGTTTGGAAGGTTCTTATAAAGACTGTATTAAAGACTATGAAAGGTTATCGGATGTTGGGTCCCCAGTTGTGAGCCCCAGGATTGTAGAACTTGAAACTGAAAGCAAGCCTTTGCATAACAAGGAAAATCAACGCATACAAAAAACACTTGATAGTTCAAATGACATACAAGAGCTAGAGACCAGCGGATGTTATGAAGACAGTGGCTACTCTTCATTTTCCCAGCAAAGTGGCCTCAGTGAACATGAAGACAGTAGCCTTGCCCTGGTGGAAAGTTTCAGTGACAGTCCACAATCCTGCCTGCTACGGACGCAAAGCCCAGACCAATATCCCAACAAAAACTTGCTGCCAGCTCTTCATTTTGAAAAAGTGGTTTGTTCAACGTTAAAAAAAAATTGTAAACGAAATCCTAAAATAGATTGGGAGAAGCTGAAAGAATTTATATCCAGTGGAAATTTTAGACTACAGAATATAATTGGTAGGAAAATGGGCCTCGAATGTGTAGATATTCTCAGTGAACTCTTTCGAAGAGGACTCAAACATCTCTTAGCAAATATTTTAACACAACTCAGTGAGATGGACTTAATCAAGTAAGTATTGTTTCTCTGAGTGTATGTATTAGTATAATCCATGAGCATTTTTGTTATATAGCTCAGCACTACCAGCTCATGCAAAGATAGTACTGTAGTCTTGCACTGTAGTTTTAATTGAGGTGATGAAAGTATGCTTTTAATCCAGTTACTTCAAGTTTCATATTATGCTAGTGAAAGATATTTCTATTAGGTCGGGATCTTTGTTTCTTTTGGTTCTGAAATTGTTCATATGTAAGCTACATCTTTTGGTCATAACTATAAAAACAACAGCCTAGGGGTCTGCTGTACGGGTCCAATGGGAATTTGATTTTTGTCACACTTGAAAATATGAAGTAATTATTTCTGTTCTTTTTAGACCATTTTCAAGTTTAAAAGTGATAAAAATGCAGAAATGTACACGAGTCTGATTATGACTATTTCTTAGAAACCTTTTACTGACTGCCCTTTCTTCCTTATCCAACCAGAGAAAACCTTTTAGGATGAGATAACGGAGAATTAGGGCTTCCCTAGTTTGGAGAAGGCAATGACAACCCACTCCAGTACTCTTGCCTGGAAAATCCCATGGACAGAGGAGCCTGGTAGGCTGCAGTCCGTGGGCTCGCTGGGAGTCGGACCCGACTGAGCGACTTCACTTTCACTTTCACTAGTGGCTCAGTGGTAAAGAATACAACTGCCAATGCAGAAGACTTGGGTTTAGTCCCTGGGTTGGGAAGATCTGGAGAAGGAAATGGCAACCCACTCCAGTATTCTTTTTTTTTTTAATTGGAGGCTAATTACTTTACAATATTGTAGTGGTTTTTGCCATATATTGATATGAATCAGCCATGGGTTTACGTGTGTCCCCCATCCTGAACCCTCCTCCCATCCCACTCCAGTATTCTTGACTGGGAAATCCCATGGACAGAGGAACCTGGTGGGTTGTAGTCCATGGGATTCCAAGAGTTGACACGACTTAGCAACTAAACAATTGAGAATTAAAATGATTATCCAGAGTATTGGATTAGATTGCCTCCAACTTGGTTCATTTTTGGCTTTTTGAAAAAATTTTAAAGGTACTCTGTTACTTTGCATAAGTCCATGAAATATAACTGAACCAAAACAGGCACAAGTATTGATTTTTATTATTGACTAGCTTCTTGGAGGATAATCAACATCACAACATTTTTGTTAAAATGGATTTTTAAAATTGATTTCTACTAGTAGCACTGTGTCAAATGTTTGAAATTTGTCTAATGTTAATAAATAGTCATATACACAATGGGGTTTCTGATTTGATATTTGTGGATATTGTGAAAAAATTGAAGTGTTCGGGTTCCTAAGCCTAGATCTACTTAGAATTGATGTTGAACTTTTTAAAAGGCAGCAGTGGAGGGGATTCTGTAGAACCCTGGCCCCCATTTTAGACCAGTTAAACCTAAGTGACTAGGCATGGGCCATCCTTAAATCTCAAGTGCATGCCACAGGCAATTCTAAGTATAGTCAGGTTTGAGAAGAACTGCCAATAGAAATTTCTTTTTTGCACTGGTTGTGTTTCTGTAATATATTCATCTTAGCCTTCATGGTGCTTAATTGTTTCCTTTATAATCATTTACTTTTCCAGTGTGTCTAAAGTGAGCACAACTTGGAAGAAGATTCTGGAAGATGACAAGGTGGCATTGCAATTGTACAATAAAGCAATACAAAGAATTACTGTAAGTCTTTGCAGTTGTTTTAATTTTAAGATATAACAGCTCTCTACCTTTGAAGTGGGAGAGGGAAATAGTAAAGATGACAGATGATCTGGAAATCCTTTACATTTATAACTCATTAAAAAATATTCAAAGATAAAGGGGCTGGGATTTTATCTGTTACAAAGTAGTAAAGTTATCTATATTTAGAAGATTTTTACTGTAGGAAGGGAATTCATTCACTTTGCAAAATACTTAGTAACTTTGGAGATGTTTCTGAGAATAAAGATCAACACACGATTAAAATTTCAGACTTAGGAGTTGGCAGACTAAGGTCAAGTGTTGCTTAAATTCTCCACATTTAATTTCTTTATCCATAAGCTGGTATTAATGAAAAATTTTCTACCTCAATAGATTGTTTTGAATCCATTCAGAGCACTGATGTGACACTTGAACATGACTATTGCCATCTACTGGTGGGTGGAAAGAATGACCTTTTGTTCTGGTGGTTGCTAAGTTGCTAAGTCACTTCAGTCGTGTCCGACTCTGTGGGACCCCATAGATGGCAGCCCACCATGCTCCGCCATCCCTGGGATTCTCCAGGCAAGAACACTGGAGTGGGTTGCCATTTCCTTCTCCAAAGCATGAAAGTGAAAAGTGAAAGTGAAGTTGCTCAGTCGTGTCCGGCTCTGCAACCCCATGGACTGCAGCCTACCAGGCTCCTCCGTCCATAGGATTTTCCAAGCAAGAGTACTGGAGTGGGGTGCCATTGCCTTCTCCATGTTCTGGTGGTAGTGCTTTATAAATCATGTATTAAATGCTGGGTACTAAGTATGTAAAGTTGCTTTCTCACAGTTTCTGATTTGTAGTTTCTCTCAGTAACTTAGTTGTTAGGCTTTAAATGTTTGAATAGTTGTGGGTGGCTGTGCTTAAGCGCATGTACGTAAATTGAATACAGGAATAAATCCTTTATATTCTCATTTGCCCTTTTTTACATGTACAAACATAATAAAAATTTCTGATTATTGAGAATATAGGACGATATTTTTTAATCCTATTCAAACTTTTTTTTTTAATTAGGAAAAAAACATTAAGTTTTCACCACATGCTTCGACCAGAGAGTATGTTTTATTCAGAACCCCTTTAGCATCTGTGCAAAAATCAGCAACCCAGACTCTCCCCAAAAAAGATGCTCGAACTAAGTTACCTGATCCAGGTGATCAGAAAGGTTCTACTTACAGTCGACACAGTGAATTCTCTGAGGTAATTTTTTGTTTATCAATAAATTGGAAACATGAGTTATTTATTGTTAAAAGGATTTAGAGTAAGAAAACCATTTATAACTCAAGTAATCAAATTAGGAAAGTACACAGAGATGTCTTTCTGTGCCAAAGATAATAGATATTATTTGGCATTGTTTATGACCGTGGTGTTGAGCTCTAATTTAGAAACACTTAAGAAAATAAGGAGAGACCTTGAAGTTTCTTCTAAAACTTAAATACTACATTTCACAATTACTGCCTTTGATAACTGAGGAAGAGAGCTAAGCAAAAAAGTCAATTTTATCAGGCATTACATAGACAGGGAAACATGGTAACTTTCACAGCTATATAAAGTGAAAGTGAAGTGAAGTCGCTCAGTTGTGTCCAACTCTTTGCGACCCCCCATGGACTGTAGCCCACCGGGCTCCTCCATCCATGGAATTTCCTAGGCAAGAATCCTGGAGTGGGTTGCTATTTCCTTCTCCAGGGGATCTTCCCGACCCAGGGCTTGAACCCTGGTCTCCCGCGTTGCGGGCAGGCACTTCACCGTCTGAGCCACCAGGGGATCCATAGCTATGTAAAGGTAAATGCTATATGATGTGAAAGGTTTATTTTAAAAAAGACTAGAGCTGGAGGTGAAAGAGCAGCCAGCTCCTGGTGTCACAGGAGAGGCGGCATCGATGTGGGAGTGGCATTTATGAACAAGAGCATATTTGTAGCATTAAGCAGTAACCACTGGGTCAGTTGACAGTGGTCTGTTCCCCCATTGAGCAGTAAGCTCCTGAAAGGCATGAGTTGTGTGTGATGTTGATGCTTTATACATGTATTGGGGAAGTGCCCTTGTTTTGACTAGCTAAATTACATTCAGTTCGTAGTAAAAATATGTGTATGAATTTTCTTCTTTCTAGGTTGCCAAAACTTTGAAAAAGAATGAAAGCCTTAAAGCCTGTATTCGCTGTAATTCACCTGCAAAATATGATTGCTATTTACAACGGGCAACCTGTAAACGAGAAAGCTGTGGATTTGATTATTGTACAAAGTGTTTGTGTACTTATCATACCACCCAAGACTGTTCAAATGGCAAGCCCCTAAAAGCCAGTTATAAAATGGGTCCTTTGCCTGGTACTAAGAAAAGCAAGAAGAATTTACGACGATTATGATTGCTTATTACAACAATTGAAATTGATCATGAAGGTTAGTTAGAAAAATGTTGGGTTTTAATTTAAAAAAAATAAAAAATGTGATGTTCGATTTTATGTTGAAATCAGTGTAATACATGGGGTTTTCCCCCCTCAGTGAAAAAAGAGGGTACACAACTTCTTAAAATATTTTACAGTTTAATAGTGAAAAAATTTTAAATTCTCAGTGTAAATCAGAAAATATAAATATTTTAAGAAAAAAAGGGAAACTATGATGATTGTGATTCAGAGGTAAAATAAAATTCATTCCATTTTATGGTAAAGGAAGACCATGTCATTTTACCTAGACAGTCTTAAAAGTAAATCTTTACCATCCATTAACAGATTATTTTATTTGCTTTGCCAAATTAATAATATCTATTGAAATATCAACTTCTGGTGTCTTAATGTAAATGTTTTGTCACCTTTGTTTAACCTCTTTTAGAGTGTATTTCCCAAAAAAGTATTCTTTGTGAAGTTTTGCTTGTTTTCCTTCTTTATAAGTTTGTATGTTTTAATATTTTGTACATATGTAAATATTTATGTATTTTTTATGTCAGAGTAAGAAAATAAATGTCTTTTGTATATATGTAAGTAATTTTTTTCCTATTATGAATAAAATTGTTACAAGCTTGATAAATAACATGAGTCTTTTATGTAGGTAAACATTTAAATCTTAGAAACAGCTGAAGAAGCTGTAGGAGACTGACGTGTGGGAAGGCCTTGCGTGGGTCTTTGTCTCCTTATTGGGAACCTTGTGAGATTATTGTTCAGTCATTGGGTCCTATCCAATTCTGCAACCCCGTGGACTGCAGCATACAAGGATCCTTTGCCCTCTACTGTCTCCTGGAGTTTACTCAAACTTGTAGTGTTCTATATTCCAATTTCAATTTTCTCACCACCCAGTGTCTTAGTGGAGTTGGGTCTTGAAATAAGCATCTCAGGATGGTTCAAAGCAAGACCATAAAACACACTTTGGGAAATACTGGTGTATGTACACATTCATCACTTTTTCACTCTCTTCTTTCACTTTCAAGAGGCTCTTTAGTTCTTGATTTCTTTCTGCCATAAGGATGGTGTCATCTGTACATCTGAGGTTATTGATATTTCTCCCTGAAACCTTGATTCCAGCTTGTGCTTTATCCAGCCTGGCATTTCTCATGATGTACTCTACATATACGTAAAATAAGCAGGGTGACAATTGGCAGCTTTTACCAATTTGGAACCAGTCCGTTGTTCCATGTCCAGTTCTAATTGTTCGTTACCTGCGTACAGGTTTCACAGGAGGCATGTCTAGTGTTTTTCCCTAATTGAAGCCTGAATTTTGCAATAAGAAATTCATAATCTGAGCCACAGTCAGCTCCAGGTATTATTTTTGCTGAGTGTATAGAGCTCCATCGGCTGCAAAGAATGTAATCTGATTTTGGTATTGACCATCTGGTGATGTCCATGTTGAGTTTGTCTCCTGTTGTTGGAGGAGGGTGGTGTTTGCTATGACCAGTGTTTTTGATTCAGATTACCTTGATTCATCTCAGTCAATGGGCTTCTCAAAGGCTTAAGGGCTTTGCCCTTGATCTCAGCAGAAAACCAAGATAGAGGATTTATCTTAAATGGATTTATGGGTGTGTCTTTCTAATGCAATAAAATCTCCAATGAAGTTAATGGTTTTCTTAAAGGAGCTTTGTGAAATCAACAAACAAAGCATTAAAGTATGTAATTTGACACACATGCCTGAAGCCGTCACTTGCCAGATGAAGGTAATGAATATTACCATTTTTTCCTGCCCATTTGTAATCCCTCCTGTTAGTCCCCACGCAATCACTGATCTGTCAGTGTAGATTACTTTGCCTTTTCTAGAATTTTCTATAAGTGAAATCATTTTGTACTGTGTGACTACTTTGAATGAATATTAGTTTGAGTTTTATCCATTTTGTGTGCACAGTAATTCATCCTTTCTATTAATAAGAAATATACTGTCAGATATGCCAGTTTGTTTGTATGTATGTTCACCCTGGTAGATGTTTGGATTTTTCACCCATTTTTTTGCTACCAAAAATGAAGGTGTTATAATCATTTATATACAAGGCTTTGCAAGTTGTATTCTTTAGTTTCTCTTGGCAAATATCTAGAGGGGCTTCCCTGGTAGCTCAGCTGGTAAAGAATCTGCCTGCAATGCAGGAGACCCCAGTTCAATTCCTGGATGGGGACGATCTGCTGGAGAAGGGATAGGCTACCCACTCCAGTATGTTTGGGCTTCCCTTGTAGCTCAGCTGGTCAAGAATCCACCTGCAATGCAGGAGACCTGGGTTTGATCCCCGGGTTGGGAAGATTCCCTGGAGAAGGGAAAGGCTACTCCAGTATTCTGGCCTGGCCTGGAGAATTCCATGGACTATATAGTCCACAGGGTCACAAAGAGTTGGACATGACTGAGCGACTCTCACTTTTGCTTTCCAATATCTAGTAGTAGAATCTTTGGGCTATATAGTCATTATATGTTTAACTTTTTGAGAAAATACCAAAATGTTTCCAAAGTGACTACTGTTTTATTTATTTTTGGCTACACTGGATCTTCGTTTCTGTGCTTGTCCTTTCTCTTGTTGGGGTGAGCAGGGGCTACCCTTTCTTTGCGGTACACAAACTTCTCATTTCAGTGGTTTGTCTTGTTGCAGAGCAGGATCTCTGTGGCGCACAGGCTCAGCAGTTGTGGCTCATGAACTTAGTTGCCCCTCAGCGTGTGGAATCTTCCTTGATCAGGGATCAAACTTGTCCCCTGCATTGGCAGGCGAATTCTTAACCATTGGGCCACCAGGGAAGTCAATGAGTACTATTCCACATTCTCACAAGGAGTGTTTGAGAGTTCCATTTACTTAATGTGCTCATCAGCACACGGTGTAGTCTGTCTTTAATTTTAGCCTTCAAATGTGTTTGTAGCAGTATCTCATTGTGGTTTTAATTTACATCTCCCTGGTGGTTGCCATTGTTATTTGCCATCGTACATTTTCTTTGGTAAAGTGTCTATCAAATCATTTGAGTGTTATCAATATTTGAGAGTATACACTCGGTACAAGTGCTTTATCAGAGTTTGTCTTGTCTTTCATTTTCCTAGTGTCTTTGGAAGAGTTTTTATTTTTGATCATATATAAATTATTAATTATTTGTCTTTAATACATCATGCTTTGAGTGTCACATCTCAGAAATTTGCCTAACCTCAAAACACTCTCTGACATAAATCACAGCAGGATTCTCTATGAACCACCTCCCACAGTAATGGAAATAAAAGCAAAAATAAACAAATGGGACCTAATTAAACTTAAAAGCTTTTGCACAATGAAGGAAACTATAAGCAAGGTGACAAGACAGCCTCCAGATAGGAGAAAATAATACCAAACAAAGCAACTGACAATAAATCTCAAAAATATACAAGCAGCTCATGCAGCTCAATAGCAGAAAAAGTGCCCTATCAAAAAATGGGCCAAAGAACTAAACAGACATTTCTCTAAAGAAGACATACAGATGGCTAACAAACATGAAAAGATGCTCGACATCACTCACTGTCACAGAAATGCAAATCAAAACCACAATGAGGTACCATCTCATGCTGGTCAGAATGGCTGCTATCAAAAAGTCTACAAAGAATAAATGCTGGAGAAGGTGTGGAGAAAAGGGAACCCTCTTACACTGTTGGTGGGAATGCAAACTAGTACAGCCACTCTGGAGAACAGTGTGGAGATTCCTTAAAAAACGGGAAATAGAACTGCCATATGACCCAGCAATCCCACTGCTGGGCATACACACCAGGGGAACCAGAGTTGAAAGAGACACGTGCACCCCAGTGTTCATCATAGCACTGTTTACAATAGCCAGGACATGGAAGCAACCTAGATGTCCATTAGCAGACGAATGGATAAGGAAGCTGTGGTACATATACACCATGGAATATTACTCAGCCATTAAAAAGAATTCATTTGAATCAGTTCTAATGAGATGGATGAAACGAATCTATTATACAGAGTAAGTCAAAAAGAAAAACACCAATACAGTATATTAATGCATATATATGGAATTTAGAAAGATGGTAACAATGACCCTACATGCAAGACAGCAAAAGAGACAAAGAGATAAAGAACAGACTTTTGCACTCTGGGAGACGGCAAGGGTGGGATGATTTGAGAGAACACCATTGAAACATGTATATTACCATATGTGAAATAGATCGCCAGTCCAGGTTCCATGCATGAGACAGGCTGCTCAGGGCTGCTGCACTGGGAAAACCCTAAGGGATGGGATAGGGAGGGAGGTGGGAAGGGAATTTGGGATGGGAGAACATGTACACCTGTGGCTGATTCATGTCAATGTATGGCAAAAACCACTACAATATTGTAAAATAATTAGCCTCCAATTAAATAACTTTATTAAAAAAATGCCTAACCTACGAGCATATGTATCTTTCTCCTATGTTTTCTTCTAGAAGCTTTATAATTTTAAAATTCATATTTAGGTCTGTGGTCCATCTGCAGTTTACAATTTGAATACAGTGGGAGGTATCATTTGAAATGAGTGTCCACTTGTTCCAGCATCATTTGTTGACAAGACTCATTTCTTTACTGAAATGTCTTTGCATCTTGGCCAGAAATCAATTTTACATAAACATGAGGGACTGCTTCAGGGCTCTATACTGTTTAATTGACCTATTTGTTTCTTGAACTCCAAAACCACACTGCCTTGACCACTAGCTTTATAAGTCTTGGAATGAAGTAGTGACAGTCCTTTTCTATTTAAAAATTTTTTTCTAAGTTGTTTGTCTATCATAGATCCTTTTTATTTCTACATAAATTTTACAATTAGCTTGTCAATTTCTACAAACATACAAATTGGGATTTTGATTGAGGTTGCAATGAACCTATTCATCTATCAGATTAGATGAGAAGGAGAGAATTGTCATTTTGACAGCACTGAGTTTTCCAACTTGTGTACATAGTCGT